ATTTTATTTTATTTTTTTATCTGTTTCCCTTGTAATGGAAGGACCATCCACAAACATTATTATCCAAACTGGTTTTCCAAATACAGCAGCTTTAAGAGTAATGGTAAAACCACACTGAGGAAAATCGGCTCTCTCCCTCCTGCTGCTTCCTGACTGGCGGCCTTTTTTTAAACCAAGGCCTCATTTTTACATTCACTGAAAGAAACCAAAGAACTGTAATCATTCCTTACTGTGGATGTAAAGAATAATAAAACAGACAAGCAGATTATTGCATATAGACAAAGAAATTAAAAAGAATTCAGCTGCAGCTAAAATTAACGATTTTTGCTAAAGGACTGACTGACTCGACTTTCTGACTGTGGGGTTAACCATAAAACCAAAACGTTTAGGACTGAGGAATAAAAGTAAAATATCCTCTGGTTTTGTGCAGCTTTTTGGGATATCGTAAAGGTCCTGCTGAGTGGTCCATTACCGCTGCTGAGCCAAGTTTAATTACAAAATATTATTCTGCTAATTTTATGCTAACATGCCTTCAGGGCTCGACCAATTTTCATTTTTAGGTAGAGGCTTTAAACATCCCAAAATTGTTCTTCCCTCATTTGTGAAAAGGTTATTTTTAATGTGCTATTTCCCAAAATGTCAAAGAGTTTGACATTTTGGGAAATTGGCTCATTTGCTTTCTTGCTGATAGTGAGAGAGGCAAAGGGATCAGCTAGTGCCAGGAGATGGTTAGCTTAGCCTAGCATAAAAACAGGGAGGGTTAGCTTAGTTCTTTCTGAGGGTTAAAAAAGCCATATACAATAATCAATATTAAAACTAAATTTTTTTTATCATAATGACTGTATTTCTTCTTTCATGTGTATGAAAGGCTCATATTTGCACTGAAAAGTCTCCGTACACAGAGACTAGCAAACGTTTTCTAAAAGCAAACGTTTTTTACATTTAGTTTTGTTCCTGTACCCTCATGACACTCTGCAGGCCTGTGAACACCTTGCAGGTTTGCAGAACTACTGTTAATAGCAATAACTTGAAGTTATGGTTTTCTGCATAACTTCTCTCACAGGTTTGTGGAGGAACTCTTCTTTAACAGCATTGCTTCAGTTCATTATGGTTTGAAAGCATTTGTTTATGCACTGCTCTATGAAGGTGGTCTGGACTTTATGCATTGCCTGATTCTTTTCTCTTTCAGCAATTCTGTTATAGATTTGCTACTGTGCTTGAGATCATTGTCCTGTTGCATGACCCATTTTCAGTCAACTTTTGGCTACCGGACAGATGGCCTCAGATTGCCACTGCAAAGTGTCCAGGTCCTGTGGTTACAAAACAAGCCAAATCATCACCCCTCCACCACCATGCTGACAGTATGAGGAATGTATGAGAGGTGTTGTGCAGACATGCTGAGTTTGGCTTTCAACACACATGCTCCAGAACACCAAAGTTCTGGCAATACGTCTGCTTTTGAAAAAGTGTTCATATTGGCTGATGATCAGTTAATCAAACGTGCAGCTGGCTGTTGTTTACCTTCTTAATTCAGATGGAAGCAGTGATATTAGTCCTGTTAAAATTTACTGTACATGTCAATGACCTTTAGCAGTGCCAAGAGGTGGATTGTGTTACACTAGGGCAGACACTTTTTTGCTAATGCAGTTCATGTTAATGTAACCATCTGCTGCTCATTAAAGAGAGGCTTCCATCTTCTCCATTCTCCAAGAAAGCCACTAAAGATTTTCCCAAAATGTTGAAATGGCCTAACTTGTTATGGTCTTTTAGGTTTAAAGTTTCATTATGAACCCCAAATGCAAACTTTAAAAAGATCATTAAAACAATTAACTGACCAATGCGAGGTTCTTCTCTGCTATTATCTTTAATCCGACCAATTAGATATACAAAACCATCACAGTTAAAAATGCAGGAGCACTCTGTGCTAATGTCCCCTCAGGCAGCGGTTCAAATTTTCCCTGTTATTTGAAAAATAACGAGCATCAGCAAGCAGTGTCTCGGCCTGACGGTGCATTCAGCAGAATCCATTAGTCTGTGTTAAATAAAGGATGAGATATGAGTTCAGCTTTGAAGGCCAAAACAGCCTCGGGTACAAACTAAGTGCTCACTTTCTAATTCTTCATGCTGACATTATGAGCCCAGAGGACATCCCATAGATAACATTATGGCTCAATTGACAGCAGAAGCAGAAACATTGCTGATGTGTGGAGTTTTTCTATAGGCACAAGAAAACCAGAGGCTCTCACAGGTGCTGCTAAACTGAGGATCTTTCAGGAATGATTTCATAAAAATTCCTTGAATCTCCCTGAGAGAGTTGCAGGGATAGGTCTCACACGAGAGTTTGTTTGAAATGATTATGTCCTGTTATAGCGATACCTCATGTATCCTTAAATGCTGTTTTAAAGGAAGTACACAGCCTTTTTCACGTCATAGTTTCCAGCAACATATTGTGTGCTAATGAGGGCCTATAAACCGAGGTATAGGACTCAGTCCAACTGTCTTTCCCCAAGTTTTTACAGCCCCATTTCATCTGTAAATGGCTACTATAAACTGCTGCAGCACATGCATTCAGTGCATTAAGCCAACGTTCAATTGGAAACACACACAGGATTCCCTCATTATTATTATCCAATAAAAAAATAAATAAAAAAATCTGAATATCCTGCATGTATTTTACCCTTATCGTCATTTGGTATCCATATATTTTTCCCTTTTCTTCTGGCAGAGGTAAAACAATAAACATTCAGTGTTACTGGCTTCACACACTGAGCTTAGCCAGTGATAAAATGTTGAGATTCGGTTTCTTTGTTTTGCAGTTAAAATCCGCGGAAGCCAAATGATTTAAATTTTACAAACAGCTGAAAGATTACTGAGGTTTTTATCAGTCTATATTGTACAGCACTAGCTTCTGGGGTATGTCTG